GGAAGCTGGCCGGTGACGTTATCAGTGACCTCTCACCACCGTCGTGTGGTTAATAACCACCATTTGAGTTCTTAAATGACATTAAAATTTTGTTTAAAAAATTTTTTATTTTTTATTTAATTGTTAAAAATAAATAATAATTAATAAAATAATTGGTATTTAAATAAAAATTTATTTATAAATAAGATTTACTTATCACATTTACATAAATTTTTATTTTTTTATTTTCAGTAATTAAGATTTATTATAACTTTTTAGATAAAAATGATAATTACTTTTAATAAATATGATAATAAATATATAAATCTTAATTATTAAAACTGAATAGATGAATAATTAAGATTTTATATAAATGTAATATGTAAAATTTATGTGTAAATATAGTTTTAATTTATCGACTATTTAATTAAATTCATACATTTGACACTAATACTAAAATTAATATCAATTTTTATATATTTTACATGTATTTACTATACTAAAAAATTTAATATGTATTCTTAAAATATAAATTTAAAAAATATTTAAATAAAATAAAAATTTAATAATAGTAATAATGTTATTGATGGTCACGACTCACGACCATCCCTCTCACCAATCCAAGCTTTAAAAAATAAAAAAATAAAAAAATAAAAATAAAATTAAAAAAAATTATATATGTAACTTATAAATAACAAATTTTAAACTAAATACATATCACAATGCATCCAACAACTTTTTTTCTTTTCTTGCATTTTTTTTAATAAGTTTAAATTTCAAAAAATAGGAGAATTTAAATCAGTATTATATGATGGAAGTATACCTTTAAAACTAATCATAAGTCACATGCTCCGAAAGGTTAAGTGCCTTTTCTCACATTTTTAGACAACCATAAGTATACACAACTTTACAATTTAATTCTTTTTAATTTTTTTTTTACTTTTCTATTAGTGCATTTCTAACCATAATTTTTATTTATCATATAAATGATCTTTTAATTTCAAACTTCAAATCTAACATGATAAAAATCTTAAGTCAAAAGTATAGATATCAAAATGTTAAAATAGATATAATATCATCAACTAGTATCCTTTTCTAACAAACCAAAGCTGAGGATTAAGAAAATACATTCTCTTTGAAGTATTTTCATTTTGTTATTTAATTTTTTTTCATTTATTATTTTTTAGGTATATATTTTATATTTTAGATTTTTTATGGTTAATTATTTGACTGAATTTAGTTTTTTAATAATACATAGATTTGAGTTTGAATATGAAACTAAATTTTAATTTTTTATTATTATTTTAGATTATATTTAAGTTTAGATTGTAATAAATAATATTTTATTAAATTTTTATTAGTTTTATTAAAGTATAGATTGAAAGTAAATAATGTTTTATTAAATTTTAATTTAAAAAAATTTAAAACAAAATATCTTTCAATAAACACATAAATATATATTTACAAGTTACTTGACATTTATAGGATTAAATACTGAATATAAATTTTCAAATATTTAACTAAATATCAAGTCTAAAAAATTATAAAAAAAAATTTCAAATCAAGTAACTCATTCGCAGCCGGTGTCCGAAAATGCCCACCCCTAAAAACAAGGAGAAATGTTATGGGCCCGAAGAGCGGGACCAACCAATTAGACTTGGCCCAAATCATAGGCCTGGGATATGAGTTGGGTCAACCAATCTCTCCA